AGTTTTACAGCTTTGTATTTCACATTTAGGTCTGATTTGTTTAGAGTGAAGTTTTGCAAAAGATGTGAGGTATCTTTTTTTCTTTTTGGCATGTGAATATCCAGTTGCTCCAACACCATTTAACAGACTGTCCTTTTCTCCATCCAATTGCTTTCGAGCCTTTGTCAAAGATCAGTTAACTCTCTTTGTATGGTCTTTTCTGGCCTCTGTTCTATTTGTGTACTCTTTCACCAGTGTCACACTGTCTTGATTATTGTAGTTTTGTATTAAGTCCTGAAGTCATGTAGTGTCAGTCCTTTAGAAGAACTTCACCCATTTAAAAAATTTTTTTTTCTAATCTTTATTTATTTATTTTAAATGTTTTATTTATTTCTAGGAGAGAGAGAAAGAGACAGCGTGAGCAGGGGAGGGTCAGAGAGAGAGGGAGTCACAGACTGAAACAGGCTCCAGGCTCTGAGCTGGCAGTCAGCACAGAGCCCGACGCGGGGCTCGAACCCATGAACCGCGAGATCATGACCTAAGCGAAAGTCGGACGCTTAACCGACTAAGCCACCCAGGCGCCCCTAATCTTTATTTATTTTTGAGAGAGAGAGTGTGAGCAAGGGAGAGGCAGACACAGAATCTGAAACAGGCTCCAGGCTCCGAGCTGTCAGCAGAGCCTGACGTGGGGCTCAAACCCACAAACTGTGAGATCATGACCTGAGCTGAAGTCAGACACTTAACCGACTGAGCTACCTAGGTGCCCCGAACTTCACACATTTTTTAAATTGAGTTGTCTTTATTGTTGAATTGCAAAATTTCTTTATATATTTTGGATACTAAACCATTTCAGATAAATATAATTATTTTCTCTCCACAACATAACATTGGAGAAAATCTAGGTGACTTCATGATGATGACCTAGGCTTCATGATAACATTTTAGGTACAACATCAAAACCATGATTCATGAAAGAAAAAAAGGACAGGTTGTAGGTTGTATTTGTGTATTAATTCATTAAAATTAAAAACTTTTGTTCTCTAAAAGACTATTAAGAGAATAAAAAGACAAGCATGGGATGGAAGAAAATATTTGCAAAACATTTATCTGGTAAAGGTCTAGTATACAAAAAATATTTTAAAAACCACTTAAATCTCAACAGAAAGAAAATAACCTAAGTTAAAAATGGGCAAGAGATCACCTGGGTGGCTCAGTCAGCTAAGTGTCCGACTCTGACTCATGTCATGATCTCACAGCTCATGGGTTTAAGCCCCACACAGGGCTCTGTGCTGACAGCTCAGAGCCTGAAGCCTGCTTCAGATTGTGCCTCCCTCTCTCTCTCTGCCCCATCACTACTTGTGCTCTCTCAAAAATAAATAAACATTAAAAAAAACAGGCAAGAGATCTGGACACCTCAAAAAAAACATACATACATGACAAATAAGCATATAAAAATATGAATATTATATGCCTTTAGGGAACTGCAATTTAAAACAATGTGATACCACTACAGATTAGAATGGCCAAAACCTAAAACACTGATACCACCAAATTCTGGTGAGGACATGAAGAAAAAGAACTCTCATTCACTGTTGCAAAATGGTATAGTCACTTTGTAAGATGGTATGGCAGTTTCTTACAAAACTAAACATACTCTTACCCTATGACCTAGCTATTATGTTCTTTGGTATTTACAAAAATGAGCTGAAAACTTCTGCCAACTAAATGTGGACACAAATGTTTAGAGCAGCTTTTTCTGATAATTACCAAAACCCAGAAGAAATTAAGATGACTTTTTTTTAAGTTTATTTATGGAGAGTGAGCAAATATGAGCAGGAGACGGGTAGGGAGAGAGACAGAGAACATCCCAAGCTGGCTCTGCACTGTTAGCACAGAGCCTGACACAGGGCTCGATCTTATGAACCACAAAGTCACAACCTGTGCCAAAATCAAGAGTCAGACACTTACCAAGTGAGCCACCAGGCACCCCAGGATGACCTTCAGTAGGGGAAAGGGTTAACAAACTGTACACCTGGACAATGGAATATTATTCAATAATAAAAAGAAATGAGCTATCATGCTATGAGATGACACAGAGTAACCTTAAACACCTATTGCTAAGTGAAAAATAGAATCTGTAAAGGCCACATACCGTATGGTTCCAACGATATGACATTCTGAAAAAGGCAAAACTATGGGGGACAGTAAAAATACCAGTGATTGTACAGGACCTGGGGGAAAGTGAGGAGATGAACAGGTGGGGCACAAAGTGTTTTCAGGGCACTGAAAATATTCTGATGATAGCAGAACAACAGAATTATGTACTTGTCAAAACCCAGTTTTTGTGTGCACTACTGCACTATTGTACAACATGAAGAATGAACCCTTCTGTAAACTATGGACTTTATGTAGTAAAAGTAGATCAACGTTGGCTCATCAATTGTAATGAACATACCATACTAATGCAAGACAACAGGGGAAGCTGTGTGGGGAGGGCAAGAGCCTCTATGGGAATTCTTTGTACTTTCTGCTCCATTTCTCTGTAAATCTAAAACACCTTGAAAAAAATGGTTTTTTTTTAAGTGCAAAGGCTTTCAATAGGCATTTCTTCAGAGAACATATAAAAATTCGCAAGTAAGGACATGAAAAGATACTCAACTTTAATAGCCATTAGGGAATTACAGATCAAAACCAAAATGAGATAGCACTTCACAACCACTAGGATGGTTATAACCAAATAAGAAGGACAATAACAAAAGAGAGACTGGATTCCATCATGCACCACTGGTAGAAACACAGTGTGGTGCAGGTGTTCTGGAAAACAGTGTGGCAGTTCATCAAACAGTTAAACAGTTATCACATGACTTAACAATCCCACTTTAAGGTATATGTAAGAGAAAGGGGAACAGAAGTCACAAAAATTTTGCACATGAACGTTCATAACAGCATATTTATAACAGCCAGGCTAGAAACAATCCAAACGTCTGCCAACTGATGAATGGATAAAAAGTGGTACATCCATTCGATGAACCATTATTCCACCATAAAAAGGAATGGTATCACATATCTGAACCTTGAAAATATGCTAAATGAAAGAAGTCAGATTTAATATATATGGAATGACCAGAATAGACAAATACATAGTAGAAATTAATTAGTGGTTGTCAGGGGCTATGGGAAAATGTGAATGAAGACTGACTGCTAATGGGTATGGGGCTTCTTTTGGGGATGATGAAAGATTCTGGAATTAGGCAGGAGTGATGGTTGTATAATCTTGTGATATACTCAAAACCCCTGAGTTAAAAAAAATATATATATATAAAACATCTCTAGGCAGTTTTACTTCCTTTTGTCCCCTTTATTCACTGTATAATTAAATAAGACTGATGATTCTTTTCAGAGTATGTGATGTGTTTTATAGTTTACTGAGAAATGATCCATTTATACAAGTGGGTGTTAAATTGGGTTTCAAGGGAGAAAATGATTTAGCAAAGAATACTCTGGAGCATGAATTTACTCACCTCTCACTAGGCTATAAGCTCTTGAGAAATGGTATAGTTACACAATGATTACTTAGGGAAATGGTACCCCTTACTTTACGAACAGGCCCTGAATAAATGGGAAGTCCTCTGAGGGGGCAGTGCATCATACCGTAACAAGCATAAGGGGGCAAGAGAAATATTTGGGTAAATCTCTAACTGGGAGTCAATTTTTCAAAAGCTTAGTAGTATCTTCTTGAAGATAACTCAAGGGTGACAGGGCTGAGTTTCAGTCTCTGTTTGGGACATAATTCAACTATCGAGTACACATTAAGAAACTTCCACAGAGGCCAAAGACAACAAACAAATGGACATACTTTCTTTGTTTTAAAGAATCAAACAGTCACATGGTCAAAAACTAAAACCACACAGAAGGATATCAAAGGCAAAGTAAAATTCCCAGACTCTCCAGCTCTCATTCCCAGATGTGATCCTGGTTAATTATGTAAATTAGCTTATGTAAATTATCTTTTTGGGGGGGCACGGGGGTGGGAGGGAAACGGTCAGATGCCTTTTATTGGTCTAACCAGTGTAACTAGTAGTAGGTTTGGGCAGAGCTCCCCTCTGTCCTGGCTCCCATCTCCCCTCTCCTGGGAGATGGTGACTCACGCCCAGGGGAGAAGACTGTCCTGGGCAGGGGTGGCAGACAGAGCCAGGAAAGGGGATCAGGGAGAAGTAGAAAACATAGGGCTACAGATCATTCAAATAAAAAGTCCATCAGGACAGAAGAGAGGATGTTTCCCTACACGGGCCCCTCTGACCCTGCCAGGAATGGAAGAAGGCAGGAAGTCTCCACTAGAAGTTTCCTACTGTGCCCTTCCTGCCATCAGCATCTCTGGATGGTGTCCTCTGGTTCCTTCACACTCCACTCCAGGTAGGATTTTTTTCTGTTCCAATTCTTTAATTTTTTTCTCCTGCTATTTTCTGTTTCTCTAACAGTTGACTGTGAATTACCTCGTTGGACTGTAGAATAAACATTCCTCCAACACCTTCATACATGTTAGTGTCATCTATCAAAGTCATAATCTCTCTATCTGTAAGATGTGCATGCTTTTGTGTTCTGTTTAGCTGTTCAATCCGTACATCTGCAAGCTTCACCTTCTGCTGAGTGTCAACAACTTTGGCTTGAAACTCTGTGAAGGCCTTCTTCAATTCCAGATCCACAGGAGCCACCATCTTGGCTCACGCCGTATATTATCTTATTTCTTAAATGTTGTTAATGTGACAGGACTATTATACAGAGTATGTTTCCTATAAAGGTTATCCCATCAGAGCTTGCCAGGCTTTATCATAAACTGAGGTTAAATTCAGGCCTCAAATCCAGAAATGTATAATTTTGCTGCAATCTAAAATATAGACCTAAATAGATTTTTTTAATGAAAAAATCACATTTTGGCTTTCAAGTCAGATTTCACTTTCTTTGTTTCTACCCATGGCAAAACAAACTCTTCAGAAATTTATAAAAATAACAAAAATTGCCAGTCACTTGGAAACAATTTATTAATTAAATTAATCCATTAAGAAAATACATCAAACACACTCACAGTTAAAATGAAACAGTGACAGTTACCCGTGTGATGCCTTGACAAGAAAAATCAACAATTCCTGGCAAAATTTCCAATACAGAAGAGAGATTTAAAAATAAAAGCCCTGTGAATTCCAGTTTTGCCTGTAAACACATCTCAGGTGATCCTCAGAGGTTAGGAATGACAGGGGTGCAACTGGCAGGGATGGTAGGGAGGCTGAGATAACCTGGGAGTTTCAACGGGGTGGGGAGTCATCCAACAGCAGCGCTGAAAATATGTGATCTTATAACGAAATGAGTACCAATTTGGAAAATTAGTGTCTGTGGGCATTTTCTTCCCCAAGTCGGGAGCACAGCGAATGCAGGAAATTAATTTTCAGCAATATTCCCAGGACTAGGGCAACCACACATCTGGAGCTACTGAACTCTCCAAAGCCTCAGTATCAACAAGCTCTTCACATGGTAATTATCCTAATATTTTAAATTAAAAAACAGATGCAACCTTGCAACAGCCAACAAATTCAAATTCTTATTCATCAACCTCCAGTTCTCCATATTCTATCCATGAAGAACTCTATAACTGTCCCCTTTCAAAAGATGCAAACAATTTGCCCATCATGCAAATGAAGCTCACCTGGACTCGACACACGGCGTCTACTCAGGGCTCCTGTCTCAGGGCAGGAAGCTGAAGGTCATGAGAAAGGCACCCAACATTGCTCTTCTGTTGCACAGTCATTCGGTCTGGAGTGCCGCTTTTCAACTGGAATGGGCTGGTACCCAAACATTTAAGACTGAACAGCGAGCTGGTAAACACCACCACTGCCAGCAAAGGATACGTGTCTTCAGACCCGATGAAGGGTTAGCAAGGCTGTTCTTCTCTTATCTCTGACGTTCTCAGGAAAAGATTCCCCTAAGGTGAGCCAAGATCAGTGGCTCATTTTAACCAAAAGCAACTATCTGCTGCTCTGGGAGTTCCTAGTCATCTAACAGGATTCTCCTAACTCTGCTTTCATCCCAACAGTGCTCAGAGCCCCCGCTTGGGAAGCTCCTAGGGAAGCAGATGAAACTAATTAGGACACAGCCCATCAAAGGCAACACAAGTACTTTACCAGCTGTGTAGAGGGCCTTCCCACAACTGTGGCAAAGGCCACAGAAGAAATATTTTGACCACAGAGGGTTACACAGTCATTGTCCTCTTTGACTCTGTCCTCCTCTCTTTAGCTCTCTGGCCTGACCACCTCAGCCTGTCTTTGCCATGTTTCATTTCCCAGAAGCACAAGTACTTCTTCTTAGCTTATTTTTGTGATTTATCCCAACTAATCATGAAATCAGGCTGTGGGGATAGAGGGTACCATCAAATGAACAACCCTCTGAATGTCTGGGAAAGGGCTGCTGGGCCTTTCAGCTTCATGAGGCGGATGGTCCAGCTGTGCTCCCCTATGCTGGGTCCTCTTCGTCCATTGTCACATCATCTGTATTTTTCTTCTGTTCAGCTTCTGGCCCCGCAGGCAGAATGCTTGTGACCGTGTGGAGGAGGGCTTCGATCTGCTCCTCTGTGAGCCGTTCTTCACTCTCTTCTACTATCTGCAGAAGAAAAGAAAACATCCAGGGGTTATTTATGGAGGAGCCGCACAGGCAGGGTCCACCCCTGCCCTCCTCCGCCCATGTTGTTCCTAGTCTGCTGGCCTCTGGCACACACAGCTCTAGGCCTGGCTCCTGAGCCCCCTCAGGTCTCTAGGTTCTCTCCACCCTGGCTCCAACAGGAGGGAGAAGCCAGATCCAATTCCTATACAATGGCTCAAAGTGGGTCAATGCAAAAATCAAGTTGCAGGTTAGCATTTTTCTTCAAAGAAACAGAAAACTCTTAACAGTTCTCTACCCATCCATACACATACACAAATATGTTGTATGTGCAAAGAAAACTCACCCCTGGGGAGTGATATGGCACATAAATTTATATAGTTTTGTATTTCACAATAAGCACAGCTGTGACTTATGAATTGTATCAACAACTCATTTGATGACTGCCCACTGTGTGCCAAAAGGTTTATCTATTTTTTTCTCATCCCCACTCCCACTGCCACTAACAGCTCTTTAGGGAGCTCATGTGCCTGGCGCTGCACATAGCACTTCATAACTGTTATTTCTTTTAACCCTCACAATAATCTGGCAAAGGGAAGAATGAGAACCCCAAGCTGGGCCTGTCCAACACTAACACCTACAATTAATCAAACACACACCACGTGGCCCTGGTCATCTCCTGGGAAAGTGGAGCAAGAGTCTAATGAGTGATGGCTGGGAAACAATCTCCCGCTGCTCCACTAAAGGTCCAATGAAAGCCCGGTTTGACGTGTCCTGGAAATCTACACACAGATGGTCCACAATTCTGAGCCAGTTTTATTAGCCTCACCTCTAATTCTCAATCTATTAATGAATACAAACATAGTCAAGAAAGTTTTTAAGAGCAATATATAGGCAGTCTTAGCCACGTTCACTTAGTGACACTAGCTGTCAATCACAGCTAAAGGTGTCCAGGATTCTGTTCTGTGGCATTTCCCCAGAGCAATCTCTGAAATTTGGCAACTAAGACCAAGAATAATTCAAAAAGAAATCCTAGCAGATTTAAGTAAAGCAAGATGACAGGCAGGGCTTACAATCCTGAAAAGGATTTCAGTCTTTACAGACAACAGTACAGAAGCTAATAAAGCCAGGTGATGTGTCCAAGATGGTACTACAAACTCCTGGCAAAACATTGTTTTGTTTCTATAATGCTTATATAACCAGAGAATAATCCTGGGTATTCTAGGGCGGAGAAGATCCTGAGTGAACCAACGGGCTACTTCCTATCATGCTGTGAAATAAAATGACCATTTCCTAAAGATTAAAAGGCTCTGTAAAATGTAACCTCTACTGAATAAGAAAGAATCCTCAAAATCTCATTTTTTAAACCATATATGCAAAATTAGGATGTGTTCAAGGAAATAACCTCACAGAGACTGCCTCCAAAATACAAAGGAGGAAGAAAAAGGATATATCCAATTTGATTATTTAATCCTAAGAAAAGATGACCTCCATCTGAGAAAGGAATGTCTCCAAATATATAAATTAGTGTATTTGGTTGGTTATGAACTGATTCCTGACTCAGGAGAATGGGAAAGAGTAAGATTTAGACTAGTCTCAGAAGAGGGACAACCTCCTACCACTACCTGTGCAGGGCCTTTCCCAAAATCACTGCCACCAGAGCTTCTCAAACATGTGGTCCGTAAAGTCGGGACAATTTACAGATGAGTAGTAAGTGGAGGCTCAGCATTATAAAGAAACCCTGATCTGGGCCTCACAATAAGTAGTGCAAAGTCTTTTGACTTTAATTCCACCTCTTTCTGGAACACCATGCCCTCCAGTAGGAGGTTTCTATCATTTCCTCTCTCAGAGATGCAAACTAGAATCCACTGGTTTGATAGAGTTTAGTTATATGACCTCTGAGAGGCCTTCATGTTTAGAAAACCTTCTTGTGGCCCTATCTCTGGGTTTGGCAGATGCAACAATGATCAGGTGTCAACTAGGTGTGTTCAGGACAGTAATGCTCATAAGCTTTCAAATGTTGCCAAGTTTGTCAAGGGCAGAAGCTTTTATCAGCACACAAACCCTGAGGGTCAGGAACTTTCGTTTTCAAACCATGATTCCTAGTCACAGGAAGAAAACCTAAATTTCATTAAGCAAAGTGAAATACATGTACACAAAAAAGAAACTTGCAGAAACCAAAAACTTACTAAGCCTTCTTGGATCACTAAGGTAAAAATGTTATTAACTGTATCCTCACCTTTTCTTCCCAACCAGATGAAACTGAGCCCAAATAAATACAAAGCACAATCTCAATATTCTCAAACACTAAAGGTTTCAAATTGTTCAGAATATAAAGGCAAATGAAATGTCAAAAACCAAAGTATTTGCAGATGGGTCAGCATTAAATTTTTATCATATGCAAAGACCATGTCAATTCTGAGGGGCTGTCAAACTGGGCTGATATACTTCAAAAATGGTAGTTTCTCATTGTAAGCTGCCAAGCCTAATTTTCTACTTTACCCAAAATAACTAAAATCTAGTAACTACAGATACTTCTAGCTCTTTGACCCAGAAAAGTTCACTTAGCCTTTGTAAATTTCTATTTTCTCTAATGTGAAATGAAAGTAACAGCAATAGTAAGGACCAAAAGAGAACATATATTAGTGTTTCGTAAGCCATAAAACTCTATGTAATCCAAGACATTTTATAATCACTACCTTATACAGACATATATGACAGTGCTGTTAGGATAGTGCCCTGTGAGGTCATGGGGTTCACTGTCCTGTCTTCAGGCCACAGAGCTCACAAACTGTCCCAAATGAATGTACACCAGGGCATGGCAGAAATCACAGAAGCTGATGGCTTCCTTGTTTCCTCACAGACAGCAGGTCCGTGGATCTGAGGATCACAACAAACCATGGCTGAGGTGTAACTAAAAGAAGCTTGAGACTCCAACACTGAGTACTAACAAATAGTGGATGCTGACATTACTCCTAGACGCAAGGAGAATAAGTGGCTGTAAGGTTAACACAGAGAAATTCTCAAGTCCTTTGCACTTTCCATTTGGTGTGAAAACCTCATTTCTTATCTCATTTCTCTTGTGAGGAGAGATATTGCTACAAGCCTTGGTAAATGTTTTCGTAACCTTTGTAGCCAAATTCCAGGCTGAGGAAAATCTGGCTATAAAATGGTCCAATCTCTGGGAAACATAGTTTTTTTCAAGACCTACTACAAGACCTCCTACCTACCTGGTAAAAGAGAATAAACATTTGAGGGGATGCCATACATACCTTTCTTCTCACCATGTAAAAACATATGGCTTGTAGGAAACGGTAAGGCTTCAGAGTCAGACTCAATTAGCCACTCGCTAGCCAAGACTATGGTGAGGGCATTAAAGGTGACATATACAAAGCCTATGGCATGCAGCAGGCGCTCTTAATAGCAGCTAATCGTCCCAAGTAATGATAGGGCTTTCTACTGGCTCTGGGATGAGGTCACGCTAACCTTCCTCATCTTCTTTCTCAATCTGTCATTAAGCCATGAATAACATATGTTGCTGATTAAAGTTGGAGGAGACACAACATGGGATCTTTAACCCAGAGAGACACGATTATTTTCTTGCTGATTTGTTTGTTTTTTCTTTTCTAAGCTGAATCTCCAACACAGTGAAAAGCACCAGAATAGGGTACCAAAAAAAGGATCTCTATTTAGCCTAAAGGCCAGTTCCCCCAGAAAGTCACGCTTTATGGAAGGAATTTTTCTAATTTAATTTTGGGTGCATTTTCAAGGACAGAAAGAATACTGGGAAGACAATAAAAGTTTTAGTCCAAAATTAAATACCCCATGACCCTTTAAAAATAGGTTCTTTTAAAAAGCAATCTAAACATCATAGGTATTTTTGGCTACTTTCTTCCACACTTTTCTGAAGGAAATTTGACAAAGGTAAGTACTTCTAAAGCTGAGTCTGCAAACTCCTTTGTTCTCATGTTGTTAATTCTCCAATCAGTTTTGTTTTGTTTTACTGGCAGTTAAACGGCTTAATATTTATAGTTTAATGGTGCTCTCTGCTGTCTACAGGGGAGGGCAACTGCCCCCCTGCACACCAACATAGCAACCACGTGCTCTCACTGGGCTTCATTTTACATTCTCCTTACAGCATGTGTGGCTTCTACTCTGGCTGCCTTGCATAATTCTCGAGCTTGATGCTGTGATTGCCATGTAGACCATACAGGTGATGAGGCTCCACTGAATGGTCTTATGCAGGGAATCGGGTGTGTGGTTTTAATAGTAATGTAGAAGGTGGGCGGGAGGGGCCAAGCTGAGGCAGGGATGATGAGAGAAGAGCCCCAAGGGCCACGGAGAGAAAGGACAGAAATTAACACAGTGCCGCAGGGAGAGAAGAGAGAACAACAGAAGACAGGAACAACAGAACCTGGGGACAAAGCGCATATGGGATCAAAGGGAGAGAATGACTTCCAGGCTTCTGGCTTGGGAGACTGGGCCAGGAGGCTGAGAGAGAAAGACAGCATGTGGGGAAGGTACACATGTGCTGAACCAAGAACAGAAACAGAAGAGTGGGGTCGAAGGGCGGGAGTCAGGGAAGAGAACTTCTGCCAGAGTCACGGGGAGTCTCTGGTTTTATGCAGCATCTGGCTGGCAATAACTCCTACAGGGAAGCCGTGGTCAGATGGGGTAGGACATCAAGGGAGACCAAGAGCTGCCAAGTCACAGGCCCAAACCCTAAGGAAGGAACTAAATTCGTCTAGTTTTCTACTTTGACTAAGTCCATACTAACTAGGACCACACTGGTGGGGTCTCCTTTCACTTATAAAATAGGGTATTTGGGCAGTCTTTTCAAGAACTGGCAGTTCCAGCCTTGTCTATTCTCGGCCTTTATCACCGTTCCTCCCTCTCAGACCCAGAAACCAGCCTCTCACGTTCAGGCCTCCTTCACTCACCAGCTGGATCTCAACAGCAGTCACAGGCCTGTGGTTCAGCAGCTGAAGCTTTTCAGCTCTGTCAAAAGAAAAGTACGATGCATTAAAACTCTTATTCCCCTCAGAATCTTGAGTCCTGACCAAGCTGTTTAGAGAACACTGTGTCATATAACAAATGGGAGACGCACTTGGAACATGGCCCTCAGTTTCTTCAACTGTAAAATCAGAGAATGGGAATAGGAGAGCCTATGTCGGAGACTCTTGGGAGGGTACAAATGTGTACTTGAATCCTAAAGATCATAGAGCCGTGGACTGAAAGAAATGTAACAAATAGTAGCAGCGCAGTTTTAATAAATTTTATCTGGGAAATGTGAAGAAAATAACATTTTCTTAATCCAGATGATAGAAAGTAAAGAAAGATTAAAATAATCTTGGTTGGTTGGTATCACTTAGAAATGCCTGAGAATTCCTTTTTGAGATTAATATTAAATGTCAGACTTTACTTGTTATCTTAGAAACAAAAAACTAGGGCTAGGACAGGGCAGGGGTTAATGCATAGTAAAAGGTACAGTCTTGTGCCCACAAGGAGTTTAAAATTCAGTTGAGGAAAGAAGACAAATACAAGCCAATTTTAACAAAAAATGTAAGTTAACAGTTGATGGTAAAAATTATCACCTGTCACAAAGCAACAGCTGGCTCAGGGCTTAAGAGGTGGTTGAAACGTGTGGACTCTCAAAGGTGATAGGACTTAAAATAAAAAAGAACAGCTTCAATTACCACCCCTCTGGCAGGTAACAATTTCTAGATTTCCCTCTCAATCTGACCCAGGAGCTCCAGATTATCTTTCAAGTCAACTCAGTAAATATTTATTGAGCTTAAAGACACTGCGAAATAAACAGATGAATGAGCCACATGCCTGCGGCTGCGTTTGAGGAAGCACCATATTACCCAGCCTCCCTATGCCTTGGTCTCACCATCTGTAAAACAGGAACGATAATAGTCCTTAATATCTCACCAGGGGGTTAGGAGGGATGAACATCTTTCCGTTTATAGTGCCAGCAGCTACCATTTATTGCTCACTTCTCATATGGCAAGCACATTGAACCCTCAGACTTCATCGATGCTGAGATGGTAAATAACTTGCCCAAGGTTACACAGCTAGTGAATGGCAGGGCTGGGGCTCTGCCATCAAAGTTCGTGTTCTTAACCATCTGCTTCTAGTATTCAGTATTCAAAACGATGACTGTCACACAGCGATTTCCCCACAAATGGCAGTCATCATTAAGGCACTTGTAGTTCTACTCCTCATAATCCCTCAACATTCATTCTATACTCGAAGAAGACTTCACAAGGGAGAAAACCTTTACTCTGGGCCCTAAAAGGTTTTCTAGGCAAAATGATGACAGAAATGGCCAGGCAGACCAGGAATGGCATAAGTAAATGGCCAGAAGAACAAAAATTATGGTTTTAGGAAATGGTGGCTTGAGAAGCTATGGGACACAAAGCTGAGTCATCCAGGACAAGAGGACACGGGGCTTCAACTACAACGGGTTGGATATGACTCAGTGGACATTGGAAAGCAACCAAGGAAAGAAGTGATATGCTCCCAGGTGAGAATAAAAGAGGCCATGAACTTGGGTAGCAGCAGCAGGGCTGGCAAGGAGAGGCTGGGCATGTGAGATGCTCTAGTCACCCCAAAGTAAGTCAACAGGACCCGACCACTGCCTCAGCTGGGTGAGAGCAGGGTGAAGGAAAGAGAAGAGGCAGGGTTCACTGTCATGTTCTTAGCCTGTCTGGCAAAAATGTACTACTTGAAACCTGAATTGAGTTTGTGTGGTTTTGGAACAGCGAAGAGGTCTCTGTCCAGCTGTTTGTCTAGTTCTAGTTCTTAGTGTGATCTAGAACTAAAGAAAAAGACCCAAGCTGGACATGCTAGCAAGGAGTCATACAAAACCATGGGAGTGGGTATCACAACCGGAAACCAACTAACTACAGATTAAGTGACAACTCAAGACAGGGCACCATAAAGCATCTCTGTTCAAGGGTTTGTGCAAGAAGGTAGGGAAGGAGGGGGAGGAGGGGGATAAAGAAGACGGGAGGGAGGAGGGGAGACAAAGAAAACCGAGGAGAGTGGTGTTAGGGAAACCAAGAGAGGAAAAGTTCAGGAAGAGGGTAGTAGCAACAATGTCACATATTGAAGACGGGGAAAGTAGGCTGATTGTATACAAGCTACTGGATTTGCCAAAAGAAGGGCACTGATGGCCTGTGCAAGGTGACAACTGGATTACGGGGACTGAGGAGTTAACAGTGAAGATAAACTTTTTTTAATGCAGTGTCATCACTTTATTAAAATCTTCAAACAGTTTTTATCTTACATTTTTAGTATAAAAAATCCACAAGTAAAGCACACCATGCTGAGAATTTCCATAATAATCAATGGTACAAATATCACATGTACAGAACACAAAAAAATTTAGATGGGCTGAAATTGTTAAGATAAAATAAAACCCAATCTCAGGAAACAGAAATCATAGGATTAACAATCCAAACATTTTTAATCCTAATGAGATTTCACCAGAATCAAATAATTTGGAAGAGAGGGATTTACAGTATGACCCCATTACCAAAGCTTAGACATTCTTGGGAGCCATGAGTGGCAGCATCAGGCAATATGACAACAAATGAAAACCAAATTTTGATCTGAAAACTCCTCTATATTTGGCATTAACATTATTAGGCTTTTGAAAGGCATCCTCTCTACTGCCCCTCAGATTTTAAACAAACTGTTGTTTTCACTACAATACAAACTATACTGTATTCTTTGTTGAAATGAACCTCAGCTCTTCTGGCACCAAAGCAAATTTAGATTTGGTCCATATCTGTGAGGAGGGTCCAAGGGGCAGATGCAAAAGAAGAGGCCATGGAGTCTGTGCCTGGGGCACAGAGGGGGTTTCAGAGGAACCTTGTGAAAGACTAGTTAAAAGATGGCAAGTGGGGAGACGTGCAAGAGAGAAGGAAGTTAGCCCAACTGGCTCTCTGTCCTGCAACACTGATTCAATGGAGATGGGCAGGAGGGAATCAAAGACTAGGTTTGACGGTGGGACGTGGGGCAAAGGATGGAAAGGCAAAGCTAGACAACTAACACGTTTCATTTATAACATGTAGTAGAATCAAAGACTTATAAAGACCAATCAGAGTAATTTGGCACCTTTAATTCTTAGGAAGATGAATGTTCCCTCCAAACCTAATTTGATATTTCATTACTAAAAACAAAGACCAGCATGATACCGTATAACTCAGGAGAAATGTAAGATCCTTAGGGCTGCTTTAACTACGTTATCTTATGAATGGCTACCTCCTCTACATCAAAATGCTTCAGGGAGGTACTGCTACCATTAAGTGCTCTCTGATTGAATTTGAAAAGTGCCCAAAAGTTAGAGCACCAAAAAGATACCCAACATGTGTCTGAAGTGAAAACATGAGGTTCGGATGATCTGTGCTATCTTTCCTGGCACACCAGTGGGTTGGTTCCTCACCAGACGCTGGAACCACCATCCAAGCCACCATGAAGTCTGAGCAGCAATGGGAAGGCATCTTGGGGTAGAGAAGGAATGCTGCCAGCAGCAGCCCCAGCTCTGAATCTGGTGCCTGCAAAATACCCTCCTTCCACTGGCACTGTTGAACCAGGCAGACAGATGGGACCAAGCAGATAATAAGCCATAGGGGCTGTGGAACCTAAAGGGCCAAGAGCCACAGTGTGGTCAGGAAAAGCAGTTGATGTGGTGGGGACTGCAGCAGCCCCTGGACGCACAAAGCTCAAACAACAGAGCTCTGAGTAGGCAGATGAAGCATCACTACAGGTAGAGCCTGAGAAGGACTCAAGGTGGCCTCAGGGCCACGCTGGATTCCCACGAGGCTGCACAGATGTGCCGGCTGTTAGAGACCGACCTCTGCTGTTCACAACGGCCACGGGTCTGGTTCTGCTCCATATCCCAGACCAAAATAACCTCTTGACAGAAGGAAGAGAGCAGTTACAGCCAGAGAAGGGTAGGTTCTGGGGGGCCCCAGAACATATTTGCCAGCTAAGGAGAGACCAAAATTACAGGAGCAAAAAGGAAAAAGACCCTCAGAAAAACAAAGTCCAAAGTTTCAGCAAAGGGGCTCATGTTCCACTGACACCACAGCAATGTGGAAAGAAAAAGCAAATTTGAGGGGATCTGAAGGGAAAGGAGTTCATTTTGGATAATTTTCTCAGTGAAGCAGAAGTGGAATTCAACCAAGTGAGCTCTCTGCTCCTACAACCAAAGAGCTGAACACCGCAGGAGCGAAATCACAGACCCACACTCACTACAGGCTCCAGTGTGAAGGGGTGGGGGTTAAAGCATTTCCCTCACATCATCACCAAGCCTGTTTTTATGGTCTCCACTTTCTCCCCTTCACTTTTCAACTCACTACACTTTAGCTCCTGCCCCAACCGATCACCAAAACTGTTGTTGCTGAAGGGCCTGGTGCCGTCTATATTGACAACTCTAGTGAATGGTTCTCCAACCTCGTCTCTGCCGTATCTGACACTGTTGATCACTCCCTCCTTAAAACTATCTACCCCTGCAGCTTCCACAACTCCATTCTTTCCTGATTCTCCTGACTATACCTTCTTTATCTCTTTCTAGGTTTTTTCTTCTGTAGCATTCACTCGTGCCATTTTTCACCTTCTGACTCCTTAATGAGTTTCTCATCCAAACCTCATAATCGCATCCCCTACTATAGGTTTTAGCCAAGAAGTCCATGTTTTCACATTATGTGATCTGAGCTCCAGATCTCTGTAACCAAATGCCACCTAGACGTCTCCACCTATAATACCTCAGACACATTTCAAGCTCAACACTTCCCGACAAATCAGCTCCATTGTCTGTACTTCTCATTTTGGTAAAGAAGCAAACACCCAGGCCAGAAACCTGAGGGTCATCCCTACTATACCTTACATTACATTCATCTTTGTATCTCCCAAAACAGAGACAAAGCTGCCATGAGATCAATGTAATGTGGAGGATAATTAAAGAGCTAAAGCAGGAATGACTT